TCCCTGGGTGGCGCAGCGGTTTGGCGCCTGCCTTTGGCCCAGGGCGCGATCCTGGAGACCCGGGATCGAATCCCACATCGGGCTCCCGGTGCATGGAGCCTGCTTCTCCCTCTGCCTGTGTCTCTGCCTCTCTCTCTCTCTCTGTGACTATCGTAAATAAATAAATAAAAAACCTTTAAAAAAATATGTAAAAAAAAAAATGCTCCAGATATGCCTTAAAAAATATGTGTCCACTAATTGTTGGATATAAGGTTGTGTATATTTCTGTCAGTTTCAGATTTTTAATTTGGTGTTCAAATCTTCTCCAACTGTTTCTTGAATGACTGATCTAGATATACCTGGGAGATCTTTTTAAAAACTTAATCTGATGGTAGATTTGACTGTTGCTACTTACAGTCAGGAAATTTATGCTTTATGTATTTTGAGGCTCCATTGTTCAACGTATAAATATCAGGAATTGAGTTCTATCAGGTGAAATTTTCTTTTATTTTTAGGAAATGTACTGCTTTAACCATAAGATTTGGTTTTACCTTGAGGTGCCTGGGAGGCTGTCAGTTAAGCATCTCACTCTTGATTTTCACTCAGGTCATGATCTCAGAGTGATATGATAGAGCGCATTGGGCTCTGCACTAGGTGTGGAGTGCAGGTGTGGACTGCTTAAGATTCTCTCTCTCCCTCTCTCCCTGCCCCTTCGCCCATAGCCCTTTCATGCTTGCTGCTTGATCTCTCCAAAGGAAAAAAAGAAAAAAAGAAAAATAATTGGTTTTATTTTAATGTTTATTCTGTTTTGTATTAATATTGCCTGGACAGCTTTGTTTTGGTTAGTTTTACTTTTTATTACTTTAAATAATATTTTTGTTTCATTGCATTTTGATATTTCTTTTGTAAGTGGACCTGGATTTTGATTTTTGCCTTATTTAATATTAATCTGAACATCTCTATCTTTCAACAAAGAAATTTAGTTCATTTATATTGTGTGATTACTAATTTAGGGGGACTAATTTATAAAGTATTCTTTTATTTTTTTTAAGATTTAATTATTTATTTATTCATGAGAGACATAGAAAGAGGCAAAGACATAGGCAGGGAAGAAGAAAGCTCCCTGTGGAGAGCCCCATTAGGGACTCAAGGCTAGGACCCTGGGATCATGCCCTGAGCTGAAGTCAGACACTCAACCACGGGGCCATCCAGACATCCATTTGTGGTTTATTTTTACCATGCTTTTCATTACTACCTTCTTCTCTTTTCTCCTTTTAATTCATTGAATTTTTATTGTTGCTTTTATTTCTATTTATCTCATAATATGGAATGTATGCATTCAATGCCTATTCTTGCAATTAACCTTAAATTTTTACCCAGCATAGTTGATTTAATAATATCAAGAAGCAGGGATGCCTTCGTGGCTCACTGGTTGAGTGTCTGCCTTCAGCCCAGGGTGTAATCCCATGATGCTGTGATCCTGGGGGTTCCAGGGTTCCAGGATCAAGTCCTGCATCAGGCTTCCTGCAGGGAGTCTGCCTTTCCATCTGCTTATGTCTCTCTCTCTGTCTCTCATGAATAAATAAATTAAATCTTAAAAAAAACAATATTGAGAAACAATGAATATTTCTATTTTCCAATTGAACAATAAGGTTCTTAGAATATATATTTTTAAAGATCTTATTTATTTATTCATGAGGGACAGAGAGAGAGAGAGAGAGAGAGAGAGAGAGGCACAGACACAGGCAGAGGGAGAAGCAGGCTTCATGCAGGGAGCCTGACATGGGACTTGATCCTGGATCTCCAGGATCACACCCTGGGCTGAAGGCAGCACTAAACCGCTGAGCCACCCGGGCTGCCTGATTCTTAGAATATTTTGATTCTAATCAACTGCATATGTTATTGTCATTCAATATTTTACTTTAACTTTGCTCATACTTTCAATGTGCTTGATTAATATTATAATTTTGTTCATTTGAAAACTGTGATTTTTGCTTTCCACTGAATTCTAATAGACATGGACCAGACATGGACCACTCTTCTGCTCTTCTCTCAGGTGGCCACCATCACAGTCTCTGCTCCACCCCACAGACACAATCCTCTTCTATTCTCCCCCTAGAACACCCATACCCTAGTTCTCCTGTCCCGGGCCCCTCTGCCAAGTTCATCCACAGATTCTTGCCCAGGATCATGGGAGTCGGTATCCGCCTCTCCCCCAATGGAGTCTTTGCTTCTCCTGTAGTAGTGAGCTTTTGCTGTCCCTAGGCTGCGGGGCATGGCCTGGCTCCCAGATGCCCACACAACCTTGGCAAGACCTGCCGCCTCTGCTTCTACACTGGAGTCAGCTCTCTCTCCTACACCTGCCACTCAATAAACAGTGTCTGTGCCCCTCAAAAAAATAGTTGGTTATTTTCTTTTTTTTATTTATTTATGATAGTTACACACACACACAGAGAGAGAGAGAGAGAGAGAGAGAGAGAGAGGCAGAGACACAGGCAGAGGGAGAAGCAGGCTCCATGCACCGGGAGCCCGACGTGGGATTCGATCCCGGGTCTCCAGGATCGCACCCTGGGCCAAAGGCAGGCACCAAACCGCTGCGCCACCCAGGGATCCCTAGTTGGTTATTTTCACCAACTATCTGAATGTATTTCAATGTCTTTTAGCTTCTATGACTCAATTTTTTTTTCTTGACTTTTTTAATGGGTTATCTTTTTCCTTCCTGTATTAGCTTGTGCAGTTTGCTTCTAGAAGTTCTACTTTCCTGTTATTTAGGTCTACCTATTTTTAAATCATTTTTTACCCTAATTCATCATCATGATTTATTTTGTCTTATGCTTATTTTAGACAGACCTTTATTATTATTTTTCTTTCAAGTTATTTTTTACTTGCCGTACCATTTCTCACTTTTTTACATCTTCTGATGTTCCCTTGTAGTGGTTTGTTCCCTTGATTTTTTGACATGGGATTTTGTTTGTTTTCTTCTCTTGTTTTTTCCATGTATCTTGGGTTGAATATATTTTTTCTATGCCGCAATGGTACTTTTTTTTTTTTTTTTTTTGGCCAGGATCCTAAGGGCTTTAATTTCTCAGCTTCAGACTCTTACAACATAGGGATAATGTAAATCTAGCCCTCAACATTTGCACAGATACAAGGTAATAATTTTCATTTTTATAAACAACTTTTTTTTTCCTTCCAAGAGACATAATCCTAGAAGCAATCCTCTACACTATGTCAAGTAGCAAGTAAGAGTTTTTCCAGTCCACTTCACTAACTAGGTGGGACCTTAAAGATCTTGACTTTATGAAAGGTCTTCATCTAAGCTTCTCTCCTAATACTACCTGGCTTGTTTCTACATTGGCATTAAAAATAGTTCCACATATCCTAGGATCATATCTGGCTTTAAAATATATGGAAGTGGCTGTGTTTTGGTGAGATTGCTGCCCTTTTAGATCTCCCTTCATTCTTATATCTGGAGGAGTTAGCTTTTCTTTTCTAGTTTGACTATGTATTCAAACATAATTTTAGAATCTTTAATCTAACATGTTAAATATTATTGCATCCATGGGTTGCCATTAGAGATGAATGCCTGTTAACTCAATCTGTTATAATGCCAACACCAACACTGGAATTAAAATGTTCTTTATAGAAAATAAAACTAATTATGTAAAAATATTTTATTAAAAATATGTTAAGAGGGCAGCTGGGGTAGCTCAGCGGTTTAGCGCCGCCTTTGGCCCAGGGTGTGATCCTGGAGACCCTGAATCGAGTCCTGTGTGGGGCCCCCTGTGTGGAGCCTGCTTCTCCCTCTGCCTGTGTCTCTGCCCCTCTATCTGTCTCTCTGTGGCTCATGAATAAATAAATAAAATCTTAAAAAAATATATTAAGAAGTGAGACTCCAAAGATTTATTTTTTGATTCCACTTTTTTGTTTTCTTTTTATCAGCAATTTGTCTTGCTTTGAGTACTTGCTCAAATTGTTTGTTTTTGTCCATTTATACAATTACTTCCCTCAAATTAACCTGGAAGACAAAAAATATTTGCTGTCTTTGCAGGTACAAAGGGCCTAATTGAGAAGAATTTGCTGTTACTCTATATTCCATCCAGGGAAAACAGAAGAATATGCAATGCTTTTTATTTTGTTTCGTTTTTGCCTTTTTTTTTTTTTTTTTTTGCTTTTTAATTGATGTTTAAAATCCTTGGCAACATTTACCTACAAGATCATTCAAAGAATCTATTTTTTAACTTAGGCCAGGGATCCTAAATACATGCCTCAACTCAGATTTGTGTCGGTTTTTATGCCACTGTAATTCCATGCCTAGCGCAGTCCTGCCACATGGTAACTACTCAAGTCATATATCTTAAATAAATTCCATGGTAGGACCAGATGAATGTGCCCACAGTAGCTCTCCAGGTGCAATAGCAAATATGTGATATATAAACTAGTTAGTACCAGAGAAGTACTACTGAATAACTATCCCTACAACTCAGTGGTTTAAATTCTTACAATATTGGTTGGCTTCTATAGGCTAGGTTCAGCTGGGATCATTCATGTCTGTGTGTAGAACATTGAAAATCTAGTCTGGGTTCACTTGTCACAGCTTGTCTGTGCTCCAAGTGTGTCTCTTGGATCTATTAGGATCAGTGGGCTAATCTAGACATGTTCTTTTGAGATAAGTGGCAGAGGCAAGGAGAGCAGACCAACTGCTCAAGAGTATTTCAAGCCTCTATTTGCCTCAGACCCTTTAATATCACATTGGCCAAAACAGGAAACAAGGTCAGGCCCACGACTAATGAAATGAGAAGGATATGTCTCCTATGGAAGTAAGGGGAAGGGAATTTTTCTGAACAGCAATCCAATCTATTTAATGTGGTAGAGATTCAAAGCATACTAATGTCTGCTTCTCCAAAGTAATTTCCTATTTAAAGGGTTCCTACTTTTGGAGGCATTTATCCACTATTATAGGAAGTATGAAACTCTCCTTTTAAAAATCTATAGTCCCTTTCCAACTAGGGCCCGGCAGAATGGCTCCCACAAAGAAGGGTGGGGAGAAGAAGAAGGGCTGTTCTGCCATTAACGAGGTAGTGACCAGAGAATACACCATCAACATTCACAAACGTATCCATGGAGTGGGTTTCAAGAAGCGTGCCCCTCCGGCACTCAGAGAGATCTGGAAATCTGTAATGAAGAAGATGGGAACTTCAGATGTGCGCATTGACACCAGGCTGTGGGCCAAAGGAATAAGCAGTGTTCCATACCATATCCCTGTGCGGTTGTCCAGAAAATGTAACAAGGATGAAGATTCACCAAACAAGCTCTACACGCTGGTTACCTACGCACTTGTCACCACTTTAAAAAATCTACAGACTGTTAATGTGGATGAGAACTAATTGCTGATTGTCAAATAAAGGTATAAAACTGCAAACAAACACAAAACTATAGTCTTCTCTTATTATTATGAATGGTTGCTCTTTTTTGAGTGCCTACCTTGTGTACGTGATTGATATACAGTATTAAAGTCAATCATTACAACAGCCCAACAAAATAACTATTTTATTCATCTTTACTTTCCAATTAAAATAGTGACTCAGACTAAGTACCTGGCTGTAAGTCAAATGGCTAGTAAGTGGTAGGTATGTCTCCAAACTCAATTCTTTCTGAATCCAAAGTTCATGCCTTATGAATTCTCTATGCAACCTAACAGCCTGGATGATCCACCCTTGAAATAATCCATGCTATCTTTTCACCAATACAATTCTAAAGCTGCCTCACAAGGAAGAGTTTTGAGCTCTGAATTGGAAAAAAAAAAAAAAAACAAAACACCTGATATGAAGACAATTTGTTTTTTAGAGGGCTGTGTTTTCTTTAACCAGAGAGGGATTAAAAAGATACAGAATCTCTGTTTGATAAATGAGATAAATTGGCTAGAATTGAATTAACTACTTACCTTTCCTATAGCATTTTCAAAGTAATATCAGTTTATTGCCACTATCACCTTTATATTCTTTTAGCAATATTGTCATCTTATTGAATATTTGTACTTCTGTTTATATGTTCTCCTAAAAACCTAGCTTAACAGTTTTCAAATGTAATCTATTTTTAGTTCAGGATGTCCTGGAACCTTAGACCTTCAAATGTTTTCAGATGCCAAAAATATATTTTAAAAAATTTTAAGTAATTTTCTGAGCACTAAATTATAACATATTCTCCGTGCTCTCAGTGTGTACCTTGTTGGAAATACCCTCGGTAAGCAAATGTCATCTGACAGTTTTACAACTCCAGCAAAAATAAATGCAGAATTGCAGATTTATCACTGGGTCTGATACACACATGCACACACATATTACTATTTACATCTTCAAAATTGTAGAAACTTTAACAAGTTAATTGCTGATGCTTGAATTGATGATGAAGTGTGAGTAGAAATACATGAATTGGTGACTGATGGCAGTGTGAGTATAGAGCAGACATTTAGCTATTTTGGCGTGGCTGCCAGCTTTGCCTGTAATTATCTCTATAATCTTAGTAAAGCCATGTTATCCCCTCCCCCACAGTGAACCTTCAATTCTCAGCTTCTCCCATAACCAGACTACCTGTTGCTTATTTTGGACTTGCTACTTCCACCTAACATTACATCTGACAAAAAAAAAAAATCACATTGATAGTTTATCTTTTCTTTTTCTTCTAGAAAGAAGGAACTAGACTGATGGGGCAATATTCTACTGTGCTTTTTCAAAGAGCTGTGTGAACTGGAGAGTTGTAGTGTCAGACATGAAGAGTTTATTGATTTCAAGTGTAAGTTTATGAGAACACTCTAAGAAGATGAAATATCCCTAACTTCTGTGAGTCCTACAGTACGATAGCCATCCTCCCTTCTCTCTTGCTAGCAGAATTCTAGTTTTACTTGTGCAGCCATATTGATAATCCCAGGCTGTTGTCTTGATCAGATCACTGCTCTTTGTGTATAAGATTCTTGGAACTCCAATAGCTCTCTTTTTTCTACTACAATTGCGAAGCCATTAGTGATGTTGACACTGACACAGCTCCCTCGCTTCATTGAGCTTTTGAGCCAGTTTTGGAACCACTCTGACTGCTATGTGAGACAATTAAACAGCTTTCATTATTTTAGCCTCCATTAGTTGGGCTTTCTGATATCTGTGGCCAAATGCACAATGTATGTGGCAAATCCTAATTTTATCATTGAAGTTTATGTGCACTTTTTTTTGGCCTTCTAAATGCATTTTTACATTCTTTGTTTAAAAACTTTCTAATTTGCTTGCATATAAATCTGGGCATTGAGAAAAATTGATGAGCAAGTCTGACTTCTCAATTTGGTACTTGGTAGAGTGAAATGTGCCATGATTGTACCAGAGCCTTTTTTAATCAACTAGCATAATCATATTGAGTTTCTGAAATGCATTGAGGACCTTGAATGAAAATATTTGGCTCTGAATAAATTAAAAAAAGATTTAAATCTCAGAGATAATTTTTTCTCAAATCTTTCTATTATTAAAAAAATATTTTAAGTATAAAAATGTGTTGAAATGCACAGAAAATGCTCCAGAGCCAGGATTCCAATCAACTTATGGTGTGGGGAGGATGTAGTCCATACCAGTTTGCCTTTGAGGTAGTATGTCTGGTCAGTGAGGTCTATGTGGACCAAATCCCTCCCTCCAAGAAACTTGATTATAGAGTTGAGCCATTGCGTTTCTCTGACAACTATCTCTTTCAATTGGCTCAAATTGCCCATCACCAGGTTAGGTTTTGCTGAAGAAGACTAGACTTGAAAACAATGAGAACTAGAATGACTTTTTTGTAATCTGCACTGTACTATACTTCTAGCTACCAGGATCCCTCGGCCTACGTAATTAGTATTTTAGAAACCCTGGCTTCAGTGGGATTCAGGGTCATGTCTAAGATTATCTGTATCATCCTGTGCCACATGTTTCATGGCATGTTGTATTCCATGACAGTTATCAGTTTCTTTCTCCAGGCAAGTTATCATAATCATGCTTACCCTACCATAAACTGCTTCTGCATCAATCAAGAAGCATCAAGTACAGGGTATAGCATCTTCTTTGAAGATTTTGTCACATTTCCTACATCTTGCATATCTGAAGGATCTTGAATTTTGAACACAGCATTTATATTAATTTCTCCAACCAATTAGGTTTTAAAATTATACAGTTTTGCAGATGCTTATATTTGAGGGTTTAAAAAATTGATTGCCAGATCTTTCTTTTTTAAGTTGTGACTGCATAGCCTACCAATATTAGGCATGAAAGGACTTCCTAAAGGAAGCTTTCTGGCAGTTGTTGCCTTTACAAAGGAATCAACATCAGAGGCCCAGTGCCAAGGTGATTACAGAAAACCACTTTCCTTCATTCACTGGAGCCCTCTTGTGTCTAATTTTCTTCACAGAAAACATCTATTCCTCTCCATCCACCTGCCCAACCATGCCCATCCCTCATTTCCAAGGCACCTGTCATTACTGCTCTATTCAGCAAAAGAGCTCTCTCCTTCCTCAGCCTCTGTGGCACTTAGCAGCTCCTTCCTGGGGGTGCCTCTTACTCTCCACCTTATGCTAGAGAGATCTTTAAGAACAAGCCTTGTTTACTTCATAGCTTGGTTCCCTTAAGAGATTTTTCCCAGTTCTCCCATTTCATCTTTTCTTGGTCTCTAACGTAGTAGTATTGCCTTAGTGGACACTTACTAAGTAAATATGAATAAATGCAAGAATAAATAATCATCTCTGAGCAGAAAGCAGGGAGACTAGTTAATCGGCCTTGAGGAATGGGTGGGATTTGGGTGGGAGAGATGAAGATGGGACATTTCAGAACTGATGGAGGTGCAAAGTGCAGGAATCTCCATCTTTCATGTGGGTCAAGTACTTGGGAGGGAATTTGTAAAGTGCATCTGAGGAAACGGTACGTGATGAGACTCAGGAATCCCATGGATAAAATTGGAAGGAAAGTGTTCTATATTCATTGGGAAAGATGGGCGTCAGATTGCAAGGGTTTGGAGTGGAGACAAGTGTTTGGATTTTGTAGTCAGGATCAAATCTTGCAGTTTTTTCATTTGAGAAACTTGATCCTTGGAGGTGGGGAAAAGATGGGAGACCTGTCTCTTGGGATATTGCTTCTTTATGAAGTAATGAGGACTGAGCCACTTTGGTTTGTTGGAAGTAAAAGGAAAGGGAAATGTGACAATGATCATGCAGCAGGAATAGGAATTGGTAGTATGTGATTGCTTAGGCAAGGAGAAGAGGATGGAGAAGCTGAAGTAGGGGTGATAGTGCTATTAGGACAAATAGCAAATTTGCCAACAGATCCATGTTCAGTGGAAGATGATGATTTCTGTTTCCAGGGTTGATTTTGAAGCCATCTTTGTGGAAATCAAGAAAAGTGGTGATGATCTTGAGAGAGAAATCTAAATTTGAATTGTAGTTTTGAAAATCTTTTATCCTGATATCACACTTGAATTGCACACAGCTAAATGCTCTCTGTGCATACACTGGGTTCTCAGGGTGGGTGTGCCTGAGAATGGAATGTGAATTGGAGGTGTAAAGTGGGAGCAACAATGTCATTTGTGATTGCTCCTGGACTTTATCCAAGCTTCTCCGCATGTCTTTACCCCCTTTATATGCTGGGTGCCAAACCTGGACTTATCCATCTTTATAAAGTCCAACAAGAATAAAGAGATTTAAAAAATAATTTTTATTTCCACTTTAGAGATGGAATTAACAAGGCTACTAACATTTCCTTGAGCCATAGCCTCCCAATTCAAGTTTTCCACAAATGAGGAAGTTGTATTACTTTGAAATTATATTATTATAAAGCTCTCCTTTTAAGAACAAATTCTCTTTTGCCACTTTGGGGGTCTCCAGGAAAATATTCTTCAGGCATTTATATAAGGTATAGTTCTCTTAAACAATTGTTTCAGCAGAAATTTTGGGACTGTTATAAGTTGTGCCTTTGGTGCATACAGCTATTTTTGATGTACTTTTTAAAAAAAATATTGTGATTATAAATGAAATAGTAGAGATGCCTGGGTGGCTCAGCAGTTGAGCATCTGCCTTCGGCTCAGGGTGTGATCCTGGAGTCCTGGGATCAAGTCCCACATCAGGCTCCCTGCACGGAGCCAGTTTCTCCCTCTGCCTGTCTCTGCCTCTCTCTCTGTCGGTCTCTCATGAGTGAATAAATAAAATCTTAAGCAAAAAAATAAAAAAAAATAAATGAAATAATATATGAAATGTACTAGCAAAAGAATGTGGATTGAGAATTAATGCTTGAATTTTGAACACATGTTCTTTTATGAGCAATTCAGGGAAGGCTTAGTGATTTCAGCTTCTCAACATTGAAGAACTCATTAAGAAGAAAATGAGATATTGGAGCACCTGGGTGGCACAGTTCATTGAGCAACTCACTCTTGATTTCAGCTCAGGTCATGATCTCAGGGTCGTGGGATTGAGCCCCCCATCAGGTTCAATGCTGACCATGGAGCCTGCTTGGTATTCTCTCTCCCTCCCCCACTCAGACACATATGCTTGCCCCTCCCCCATACTCTCTCTTTAAAATAAAAAAAAGAAAGAAAATCAAATATTGAATCCATATTATACCAATTAACTTATAACATAATAATCTTCCTGTTTTTATTTGTTGCTTCAAATAAAGTTCAAAAATTTCCTTCTTATGTTTTTCTCTGGGAAATGTCCTGAGAGATAAGAATTAATAGTTTTCTCGTATTACTAAAATACACATAAAATTCACATTTATTTCCTTTTATAATGTGAAGATTTTTATTTGCTTTTTAACTTTCTACAAAGGATTTGAGATAGCTAGGTCAATTTCAGGGAATAAAGTTAACTGAAGTTTTCTTCCTCCCTCGCTCCCCTCTTCTTCCTCCCTACCTTGTTCTTTTCTTCCTTCCTTGTCTTCTTTCTTTTTTATTTTAAGGCTTGGGAGTGATTGGGGTGTCCATGTGAGGAAGGACCAGATTTTTAGGGAGTTGCTCACTTTGGGGAGGAATGGAAAGTTTTTCATTCGAGAAACTTGGTCCTTGCTCTTTCAAGCAATGAGAACGTAATTGTGGGCACGCTTAAGAGCACCAGATGATATATTTTGATAAACAGTTTTCTGTAGAAAGCAGACAATACTTCTGCTCTTTTAACATTTTAGGTCAAGGCTGAGTGTGGTAAGAACATTGCCCTGAGAGTCAGGTGACAGGGAAGCTAGATCTGACCCAGGCCCTTAGAGGAAGATTCTCTTACTTCCTCGGCTTCTGAGGCTTCTGGGTTTCTTCCTCGGAAACTTGAAGCCAAGCTGTTGAGTTCAATGATCTATGGTCCTTTTCACTTTTAGAGATTCTATGAAGATATGTTTCCAGAGACCTGGATCTTTTTAGTATGCTTCCTTTTCCATTAAAGCAGAAGCTGGGAGCCTACGTATGATTCAGAGGAAAGACCCTGGACATTTCCAGGTAAGATAAGATTGGGAGTCAATTCTGAGAAATCTGCACAGGCAAAGCAGTTTGACCCATCTATCCCATGGTAAACATGGCTAAAATTTACGAGAAGGAGAAATTATTAGTTAGAAAGATCCTTCCAGATTTATTTGGTTATGTTCCACACAAACAGGATATTTTTTAAAATTATTTTTTGAACAAAACCCTAATGTTTAAAATCTAGATTTCTGTCTGGTGAAGACCACTGTCATAGTCAGCAAGCTGCTTTCTTTTCTATCAGAGAAATGGCAAGCTGTCTTCTCTCAGTGTTTGCTATTCTCAAAGATCCAGCCACTGGAATTTTGAAGTGGGTCAAACCGCTTTTAACCTGGCTACTGTTATTCAATTTTATCAATTCCTCATTTTCTATTAGCAGAAAATCTGTTTCATGACTTCAATGTATAAAAGGTAGAAAGATCACAAAGCAGCCCTGAAGCAGATAAATATTGACCGAATCAAACAGACATGCTGCCGAGACTTGGAATGACTGGGGTTTTTGCCCTGGGACAAGGCCAGAAGAACGTTGGGGCTGTCCATGCCTAATTCACGTTATCTCTCATGTCTCCTTTTTTATTTTGTCTTCTTTTGTTTTTGTTTAGTAAACATCTGCTTTCTGTTAGATTGTTTTATCCTCTTAACCTTTATAAATGACAATTAAGTCCATCTAGTCTGTCAATAGCATGTCATTTATTTGTTGCTACAGCTGAGCCTGACCTTCATTGATTTTATGGGAGTAATTTGCTGGAAATGATTTTTTAATGTTAGATTTATTACTGGGGCACTTCATTGTCAGATAATTGAAGCAAATTGTGATTTTTTTTCCAAACCCAATGCAAGAAATACGGGAAAGGGATAATATTTTTTTCAAGGGTTATTTCTTATTGCCATAAAGATGTATGTTATACATGGTATTATACACTTTTCAAATTTGCATACATAGATCTTTTTTGAATGGTGCATACATTTTCTCTTTTTTTTATTTCTTTCTTAAGTATAGCTGAGCTAGCAATAGGAGCTGGTAATGAATTAGCATTCAAGTATGACGTGGCAAATTAGATATTCACATAAATTATCAAGTAACTACAATACCACCCCTTACATAATAGTTCTTGATATTTTGATTTAACTGCAGGTTCTATTATGAGTAGGCTGATGTTATATAATTAATCTTATCCTCTACATAAGTATTATCTTATTCCCCTAGTATTGGTGTTGACAAGTGTTTTATCATATTGTGTTTTTGGTTCTCCGAAAACTTTGTCCATTCAGATAATAACGAGCATTTCAACCCTAAATGAGGCTTTCTTGGTATTTGTATACTTATCCCATTGATGTAGGGACAGCTATACTATTGTTATACCTGTGCATTAGAGGAGATACTGTGCTATATATTTTATGTTTTGAAAAGTGGTTATGAACATACCAGTCTTTCCTAGTTGTGTTTTTGTGTCCCGATGTTAACAGGGCCAGGCCAGCAAAGGTTTGCTAGCAGAGCCAAAGCCCTTATTATTCTGGAAATAGATTCTGGTTTGAAATAAAGGAAATGAACTTTCAAACTTAACTTTAAATATTAACATATGAAACATGCTGTTTTTCACACTCCGAATAATGATGCATTGTTGCACAGGAGGATTTCCAATATATCGTAACTAGTTAAAGGAAAGTGGAGCAGAACTTGAGCCTTATTCTTTAATGAGCATGTCCTTTTTTTACTCTCATGGGAGTAGAATCAAAGCAAGTCATCTTGTAACCAAAGGCAAAGAGAAAACTAGACCACAAGTCTCTGGAAATCTGTTCTAATTACAACAATTTCTCCACTCATTCACAATTGTTTTGAAGCAAAATTTTAAAAAGAGTAAAAAGTAGAATTTTATGTTTTTTACGTATTTTACATAGAGAAAAGATTTCTCTATATCCCTCCTGTCAGTTGAGAAACTAGAATGATGACTATGTGAATGGATATCGGTGATGTAATAGTTGCGCCCGCCCATGTCACCAATGACTTCCTCTCCCCTCACATACTTTAAAGCGAACTCTTCTAACAGCTTTAATGAAGAGCAGATAGATTATTAGCACATCACCAGGTTTTAAAAAAAAAATTCAAACTTGCTGCATCTGGAAAGGCAGTTTACAAACAGGCTTAGGAATAATTACTCGGAGGAGTATTCATTGAACAGTTTGGCAAAGGTAGAATTTACTTTCAAAACCAGAGTCGGGTGTAATAATCTGAGGAAGGAGAGGAAGCCAGCACCAGTGTCCTTCTCAACAAATTGGACTTTGAAATTCGATTCTAATGTAAGTAGAAATTATGGGACAAGACCCATAAGGATTTGAGGGAGAAACTTCTTGCTTTTAAATTGTCATGCTTCTTTCTTGTCTCTGTTCCCGTCACTATTATTGATATAAAGAATCCATCAACATATTTTTATGGGTGATTAAGAAAGGCTGACCTTTCCTTTGCAGGTACAAATAGGTAGTTCTTCAGAGGCTGTAACTGAATGACAAGATAATTCTACCCATTTAATATTGAAGTGATGTTGATAGTATCATTCTTCTCGCGTTGGAAACAGGACAGCGTAGAGGCCTTTTCTGCCTCAGCCTGTTCTGCCCTGGGTGATGGATTTTCCCGCTGACTAATCGCTGTCACATTAACCCGCACTATTTCATCCTTCAGAGCTGTCAAGATAATGACGATAATCCAAGTGGCTCATTGTAGGTAAAGGAAATTATATGAGCAAAGTAATATCATAAAACAGTGTTTAAATATTTTAATTTCATTTGTCAGGGCTGCCCCAACACTTCATTACACATATAACCATCTCTCATCAGTGGAATTAGTGCATTATTCATTACTGTTAATTATTTTCACATAATGGCTGCCCTGATATATTTAACCTCCACATTATATCTCAGATAATGGGTCTGTAAAATTGAATTGTGTGAAGAGTGGAGTTCTAAAGCTCATTTGCAGAACATCAAAGAACAAAGAAGAGGAAAAGAATTCTAAATGGGACATTTTGCCCAGCTGGGGCCAAACATTTGTTTCTGTCTGATTTGCATACAGAAAATAGGTGGTGTAGAAGTGGCTTCATACTATATAGGCTGTCTGCTCCTATTATGGAACCAATTAGGATTTGTTAATATCGCACGCATCGGAAACAACTTGAGAATTATAGCATGGAAAAACGGAACAGTTAAGAGCGTACTCTTACACAACATAGACAGAGTGGAATTTCCATTTGGGGACAGTATGTCATGGGCAGAGAAAGAGAGAGAGAGAGAGAGAAGGAAGGGATGCTAGTGAGTTCCAGATTAATTATCTATTTTTATGAATACCTTTAACAACGGACACTAAGTTTTTTAAAGTGGTATGAGCAAAGATGGACCATAAAAATCCATTTAGACCTTAGTCACTTATTTCTACGGTGGCTAGTACAAAATTTATCACTTATATTTATGATAACACTTTCTCAGTCACTTAAAGGTTTAACATTCATACAAACAAAACATCCATTTAGAGTCACCAGCACCCTGTGAATGGAAGCCATATTCTATAACAATTTTTAATTGTTCATGTTTGTGCATTATGATGCTTTTATGGAGCATCTGACAAACAGAATTATCTGATCAGCAATGTCAAACATATCTGTATACGAGCGTATTTCTTTACATTTTCTCAGTGTGGGAAACTGGACAAAAAAAAAAAAAAAGCCACAACTAAAATCTGTAGATCCTGAGGCAAAATCTCCTGATGGTGGAGCTTAGGCAACAGGTATATATTTTAAGAGCTCTGCAAGTAATTCTGAGGGGCTTCCCATCATCAGAACCTCAGCCTTAAGAGGTCAGAGGTTGTGTGTGACTCATGGCAGGCTCATAGCCTACCTTTGTAAATGTTTTGAAACTGGTTTTTGAATACGCACAGTGGGTTTTGCCTTGGTTGAGCTTCTGATGGCAGCAGCTATAACTTCCTGGCTTCCTTCACTGTTATCACAGGGCACAATGTAGAGAGTCATTCAATACATGCCTAGGAAGTTTACTCTGACCTTCCCACATTTTCACTGTTATAATTACACAGAAATTAATTTCTTCAATCTATAAATTTCCCATCTTTGGGATTTTTCTCTAGGCCAAGTCCTATGAGTGGGATTCACAGTTATTATGGGTCTTGGTACATCTTGTCAAGTAGATTTCTTTTTTTTTTCAAAGATTTTATTTATTTATTCATGAGAGACACAGACAGAGAGAGGCAGAGACACAGGCAGAGGGAGAAGAAGGCCTCATGCAGGGAGCCCGACCTGGGACTCCATCCTGAGTCTCCAGGATCACGCCCTGGGCTGAAGGCGGTGCTAAACCGCTGAGCCACCCAGGCTGCCCTGTCAAGTAGATTTCTAAGAGTTGCACCGATTAATAATACTACCACAACAATGTAAAAATATAAGTTTTATTGCAATCCTGGCAGAATTGGCTTTTAGCATTAAAGCATGGTTTTTCTTTGTTTAGAAAATGGTATCTCGCTATTTTAATATGCATTATTTTTCTTACTGTCCAAGTTGAGTACTTCCTGTTTTGCTTTATATTTCTCAGTTAGTTTAGTAATTGAGTTAATTGAGTAATTTCTCAGTTAATTTAGTCTTTTTGGGCACCTGGATGGCTCAGCGGTTGAGCTTCTGCCTTCAGCCCAGGGTGTGATCCTGGAGTCTCAGGATCGAGTCCCACATCA